TTGGTATTGGTGTGACTTTTGAATTGATTTTTTCGCTCTATTTTAAACTGATTTGAAATTTTAAAAATTGCCTGCACATCAGCATCAAAATACCTTTCTAATGATATATAACTGTTTATACCTTAGAAGTATAGTTTAGCCGTAAAAGGGGTGTAAAGGAAACATGATTGCCTATTTATATATAGATGATGATAAGATGCATACATATATAATATAATAATAATACATATGTACATACTTATATAGTACATATAAAAAAATAATAAAAAATAATTTAATATACCACATTTTTATAAATGTACTAAAAAGTTGAAAATAATTTTTCCTAGACCCATAAAATTAAATAGTCTTGATATGTTTTGATTTTAAAGATTAAGCCATTTACATTATAAACAATTTATGATATTTAAAATTAAAAGCGTAGGATGTGTGCAATAGACATGAAATTATATGACATTGCGATACATATTTCATTTAACGGATGACTATTTTAAGAGGTGCTAACTCTCCTCTATGTACATTGTTTAGAAATTAAGCCTTTTAAAAATCATTTCGATTGATACTCATCTTTTATTTAGTGATTCATTAAACTTATTAAACAATTTGAATTTTTGAACCCTCTTCAAACACATCATAAATATTCTTAATTTTTAAGCTAAAAATATCTTGAGATACTTTCGTTTGGCACCTATATTTTATTATTACATACAAATGGCATTGAATTCGACTTTTCAAATAGATGGCAACCCTGCTCAATATGTTTTCCAACTACAACCCTCCTAAACCGCTTTCGCCCGCCCCTATATTGTAATACATATTTCAAGTGCCTTATTCCCTTGCGTCCGATGTGGCTGAGCCTTTTCAAAACCATTTCGATTGATGAGAGTCATTTTGTTAAAATTAATTCAACTTATTCAATAATTCAAATTTAATTTAATTTTTCAACAAGCGACAACCCTTTTCAAAAAGATGAAACCTTATTGTACGTCTAGAGTCCAAGTTCTTTAATATGACAACTCATTTTTGAAAATCGAACGAACGGTGCAGCGCTGTGAGACAAAATATCCTAACTCCTATTTATTGTGTCGGAACTCTGTAACTTAATACTCAACATACGATTGCAAAATTTGCACTTAAATCTGGATAAACAAGAGAGTTAGTTGCTTTAAACGTGGTAAAATTACGGTTATATGGTTCGAATTTATAGAGCACTGTAGACTTATAGGCTCACAATTTTATTTCATTTAAATCTATATGTTGGTGTTGGTAGATTTTTCCGACTGGGTGGTAAGATCATTTAAATCCTTACATGTTTTAATTAATTTTATTTTATTTATTTTTTAATACAAACTCCTCAAAATGATAAAATGTCAAGTTCGCTTCATAAGTCTATAGTTTCTATTTATCCCGGCCAAGTTTGTGCCCAAAGTCTTTTAAACACGAGTTTACGCCAAGGCATATATAATGAACAAGTGGATAGCAGCAGCACTCTCCTTTTAGTGGAAAAAAATTATGTGCAAGAATTCGTATCGTTCTAAGACTTCTTTTTACGAAAACTTACAAGCGCCTGGTTTTTGCAATAGTGACTTTGTAGGTGGTATTACTATACAGCAGTAACGGGAGACTAATTTTTGAAGCTTGAAAGATAAAAGTCAACCTATCCACGATGCGTCTGAACCAACATATATATACTATATATTTTTTCAGTTTTCTTTGATTTTTTTTTGTGAAAATCGCGCATCTCAAAAAAAAATTCAATGAAGCCATTTTAATTGATGATGACGATAAGTACATATGTACATACATATATTTGTAAGTATGTACTTACGTGAATAAGCACTAACACTTCCGTCATATAACGATTTGTAATTAGTTCTTATTACGAATTGTTACCACTAAAACATAACTCAATGACACTTCAAAATCGGAAACAAATACTAACTATGTACCGACTTCAAGAAAACAAAACGACACTCATGGGATTAACCTTGACGGTATTAATTGAACAATAACACTTCAAATGTTGTTTCCGATTACCATTTTGTCATACCAAAATATTTAGTACAAAGAAGGATTTCACAGCTACAAAGTGGGCAATATGAAATTTTGAAACTTTGTCTTATTTCTTATTCATACATATGTATGTACTTCTAACATATTTTGGTTCATTTACTCTTTGCTGGTGTTATGTAAGATACACAGATGACCTATGTATATTTTCAATATGTTTGTATTGATTTATAAAAATATTTATGATTAATCATAATTTTTTATCATTTTCTATTTCTATTGTGCCAATTATAGCTTGCGTTTCATACTGCTAGTCTCTGCGACGTGCCTATTGGGCAGCGCGTATTCTGCTGCGAACAGCGACGTCACCGCCTCAGCAACTACGGCAAAACCGCAAGGCTTTGCTGCACGCTCCATTGATGCGACCGATGAGGAGGATGAATTTGAATCGCAAGCGCAAACACATTTGGCTTATCGGCAGCAACAACAACCACAGCAATTACAACAACGTCAATTATATGACTATAGTCAGTCGGAGGAGGATCAGGAGGAAGCACCACGGCAAATCTATCAAAGTCGTAATGTAAAACAGCAGAGTAATTACTTGAAACAGAATAAGAAACCGACGACGAGTGAGGAGGAAAGTGAAGAAGAAGTGGAAGAGGAACCAGACAGATTGTCACTACTGTTGGCCAAGTCTTCGTTTAATTGCAATTCGAAAAATTCGGGGTGAGTGAAAATTTTTTTTGAATAATTTTTTAAATTTTATCTCAATCATTTTCGTTTTTTTTTTTTATTTGTTTGTATTTAGATTAATTACTGTTTTTATTTTTTTAAATGCAGTTTTCTGTTATTTTAATTTACTTTATTTTATTTTATTTTATTTTGTTTTATATTTTTTTTCTTTCACTTTATTTTATTTTATTTATTTTTTTTTTGTTTTATTTTATTTTATATTTAATGTTATTTTATTTTATTATTTTTTGTACATTCATTTTTATATTCCTTTTTTTACTTTTGATTAGTTTTAATTTTATTTTCATTATTTTTTTTTTCATTTTGCTTTTTTTAAATTTTTCTTAGCTTATTTGGTTTGGGTTCCGAATATTGTAGGTTAGTGTGAGGCTGGCGCAAAAAAATTAAAGTCTCACGAAAATAGATGAAAAACGTCGGACGTTAGCGGCAGGTAAACCGGTGTTCATACTGCGGTTAGAGAAAGGAGAATTCTGTTGAGGGTTATGACTTTTATAAGGCTTCCCTGAGGAGCTCTGTTGTCGGTAAAGAATTTTGTGTATTTTTTCAAGTCACGTTGGAAAAATAGAAGGTGCCACGCACCCTAAATTTTTTATGCCAGCTTCAAACTAACCTACAATAAAATTATAGTTTAAAAAACTAAAACCTCCCTATTATAATTGCCATTCGTACTGTCATCAGGTATGTAACTTGAGAATAGAAATCGCATCTTTTAGGCGCATCAATATTACATAGTTACATCCCGAATTAATAAAAGGAAGGTAAAATGCGGTACACTTCTCGTTTAATTTATTTTACTTAACTTTACTTTACTTTTTTAATTCAATTTTAAGTTTCTTCATCGCCTTTTTATAAAGTATGTGATCTAAATTTTAATTATTTTCCTTTAATTTTGTATACAAATTTCTAAAACTTCAGCTACTACGCCGATGAGTCACTGAATTGCGAAGTTTTCCATTATTGCCAAGATAATCAACGTCATTCTTGGATCTGTCCTGAGGGTTTTACTTTCCATCAAATACATCTAATCTGCATGCCGCCATCGCACGATAACATCTGTCAGCAATCGTCGAAATATCATATTGTTAACGATTACCTCTACAAGCCAATCAATCTTCATGAACACCAAAGCAAGCCAAATGTGACCCTACGCTACTCGGAGCGTTACTATCCCGAAAACTATTATGACAATGAGCGTTATGATGATGAAGAGGAAGCGCCACGCCAACGCGTAAATCATCAAAGGCAACCGGTGAGTATTAAACAAAGTCGTATGAATTTTCGGCACATACAAACATACTTAACCTAATTTATGTTATAATTTTTTTTTTTTAGGTTCAAGTTGGCTTCCAACAACAGCAGCAGCCACAACAACAACAACAACAACCCATCTATCAGCAGCAACGTCAGCAGGTACAACAGGTACGTCACCAGCCCATACAACAACAACAACAGCAGCAAACAACCGTTTATCGTAAACCTGCCACCACAACCACGACTCAACCACAGCCTCAAGCACAACTCATACAACCTATTCAACAACATCCGATTCAACAGCGACCCATCGGGCAAACTATTGCACCACTGGTTACACCAAGTCCTTACAGATTTTTCACTGCCGCATCACCACTGCAACACGCTGTGCCACAACCGCAAGTCTATCGTACTCCCGAGGAGATTAACATATCACTGCTGCAACGACGCCCACAACTTTTCGTTGCCACTTCAACGCCGCGTTACTATGAGGATGATTACCTGTACGAGCGACGAAAGTAAAATAAAAAACAAAATAAAATTAATTAAAAATCCGACCTCGACACTTGTATCCTACTTTCACTATCCTCTAGCCGTACTGTAATGCTCCCACGCTCATCTCGTCCGACAAGTGCATTGTGAATTGAATTCAAAATGCAAAACGAAGTTTTCGAATTATATGTAGCTTTAAGCATTAAATCTAACGAATTATTAACAGTTTTTTATTTTTATTTTATTTCTATTGATTTTACTGTTATAAAAACTACATATTACGAATTTAAAAGTAGTCCCAAAACTCGTATTATATGTGTGTACCTTAATATGAACAATTATTTGTCCAAAATGTTAGAAAGAGATTACTGATGTAATTTTTAATAATTTTTAAAAACTTAAATAAAAATACAAAAAAAAAATATATGTATTTTCAGCATTTGGGCCCTAATCACGGCATCTCTGAACGAATGGTCACTCGTTTTGAATCAAATGAAGAAATACGATTTAAATTGAAAAATCAAAGTCGATCATGAACGCCGTGATTCGTTGCCTGTTTAGCATTTTACATCAAAGTCATTCAACTTAGCTTCTTCCTCTTATTTGGCACCACAGCCAATTGGCTCTTTTCTTTGGGAGGTTTTGCCCGTTTTTCATCCAGATCCTTCTGCATTTGATCCTTTCCGTGCATTACATGTGCACCCTTGCTTTCGTTGTCTGCGCATGGGTACTGAGTCGAAGTATATTTTCCCCAAAGCGTCGTCAGCCATGCATTCGACTTACCCTCGCTAGCGCAATCGCTGAATAATTGTACAAATTAAAAAGCTCATACAGTTCGTCATTCCATCTACTCCTATACCCGTCGTCCACGCGAGTAGGGCCGTAGATCTTTCGTAGAATAGTTCTCCCAAAAGACTCCAAAGGTTTTCCATCAGTGTTCGACATCGTCCACGTTTTTGCGCCATATAGAAGAACGGGCATGACGAGGGACTTGTAGACCATAAGTTTTCGATTGCATGACGAGCCCAAAGTAGCACTTGTTGGCAAGAGTTATTCCTCGCTTGATGTCCTGGTTTTCGTTATTGGTGGTGTTCATGCTGGATCCCACGTAGGCAGATAGCTGCCAACAGTGGCGTGTGTCCCGAAACGCATGGACTCTTTACATATATGCTTCCGGGGGGTACTTTGTCTTATTTTCATTTATCGCTAGACCAAACTCTTTGGCTTCTTTGTTTCAGACCGACGATGTCGATATCATCTGCACACGCCAGCAACCTCGTGCTTTTCTATACATGTAGCGGCTGCGATTCAGATCGGCAGCTCTAATTACGCTTTCCAGCAGCAGATTGAAAAAGTCGCACGAGAGTGAATCGCCTCGTTTGGTCTCAATTTGGACGGAGCTGAAAGTTATGCTCAACGTCACTTTACGTAGATGTATTAGTTTTGCGGGGTCAACAAACCGATTATGTGTGTCGATTTGCTTATCTAGAGTCTGCTCTAGGATTTGACGTGCTATGAATATCTAGTCAAGGTCTGAAGCCACGCTGATAAAGTCTAATCACTCCTCGACACTGTTTAATGTCTACATGGCAAAACTCCCTCCACCGCGAGCTGGAATCAACTTGGTAAGCAACGCTGATGATCGTACAATAATGATGATGGGGCCAAACATCGGCAGCCTTTGCGATAAAATAACAGACTATCTCACCTATCTTTCGAACTTCTTCACTGCAAGGAGCATCAAAATCTCCGTCCTACAATGCACTGCCATACTCTTCACAACCTGGACCAAGGAGATCAGGCTTGAACTAGACGTCTTCGTCAATGATGCCAAAATATCGACAGCCAATCACGCCAAATTCTGGGAGTGACTATCGATAGCCTTTTCTCCTTCTCCGTGCACGCCTCATCCACTTGCAGCAAACTGCGGGCCAGAAACATAGTTCTCTAGTCGCTAGCCGGCAGCACCTGAGCAGCAGACAAAGAGACCCTGCTCGCAACCGAACGCAACTCTATGTAGGGCTACAGGTTGACATCTTATATCGACCGAGCATCACCTCCATGATGAAAACCAGGTCCTGGAGGTGAAAGCGCACAACACCATGCTGTCGAAGCAATACCTCGTGGGATGTTGCCGACGAAACCAGCCCTGCTTCGAAACGAGCCACTACCACCACACCTGCACGACTTGAAGCCAGTTATCGAGGCGTACACAGACCATCCGTCCGCTACAGCAAGATAGAGAGCGGCGCTACCCAGCAATGCGGTGAGAATGAGCCTCAACACGCGCAAAAACAATATCGTCCTACATGATCGACACCCGCCCATAAATATAAAGGAAGCGAAACTACCGAGAGAGACCAGATCATGGAGCTTCAAATTTCAAGAGAGACCCCCGTTGCCCTAGCCCAATTACGGTCTGGATACCGTAGCCGCATCAATAGCTACCTGCCCAGACTCGACCACTACGTCATCAATTGGTTCCGGCATTTTGAGACTCCCAGCACGACACCAACTACCTCTTCACATGCCAGCTCAATCCCACTCAACTAACACCCGTTTTCTTTTCGTCGACCTTGTTGAAACTACCAATTTCTTGGACCTACCGTTAGTCGAGCCTGACGAAAATGATTGATGGATGAACCGTAAAAGGCGGGGCTTAGTAGTGTCTCGCATGTGGGCAAGGTCCTCACAACACCCAACATCTCTTCAGATGCACCTCCAACTCACGACACGCTCTGGATTGCGCCCATCGATACCGCTGAAGATGGTGACTCATAACAGAACATGGGGGATTGAGCACTGCTGCTATAACAACTACAACAAATGAACCAAATAAATTTTTTTAACTGCAGTTAATCCGGATCAACGCAGCCTTCTATTTAAGCTTTAAAAGTCGCATAAATCCTTCTCTCCATTCGTCGGCCATCATTTTTAACCGACTTCCAAAAAAGGAGGAGGTTATCAGTTCGTCGGAATATTTTTTTTTTTTTTATGTATGTTACCGCATAACTTTGCGCCACGTCTACCGATTTCAATAATTCTTTTTGCAACGGAAAGGTAGTGTCTCAGAGGTGGTCCCATACTAATTTGGTTTAGATCCGATCATTGGATCATGAAATATATAGATATATATATTTTTTTTTAAGTCGGTTTTTTTTTTGCTAAAAATTAATTGTTTTTTGACGTTTGCAAGCATTTTAAAATCATATCATGATACAAAAATTTTAATATTTTTATCCTTACTCATATAAAATAAAAAAAAATTGTTGTTTGAAGTTGAAAATGAGAAAGTATGTGTGAGTTTGAGTTTTGAATTTTAAAATTATATTGCCGGCAAACGTCAGACTTCTTCTCAATGGTCTTACCTTGTAATCTTTTTATAATGCACCCACCCTAGTAGTAGTCAATTTGTATTGAACTACGTAATTCGGGTAGCGTGGAAAAGACGTATTACTCCCTGTCGAGTATATAATTCATCATTGGTGCCACCCTGTAAAACTTGTTGCTACTCGCCCCTATTGGAAAATTAGGCCCTCGCCTTCTACTTCCGGTAGTGCAGTTTTTTGACAGTTTTCTTTTATCCTATTTCGCGTATGTCGTGTGGCGTGTGTGTCTTTTTAGAAATTTGCCAATTTAGCATGTCTTTTATTTATTGTTAATAAAAAGCATATAATTTGCAATGGTAACGCAAGAATTTCAGGCTGTAGTGTTGGCAGCTGGACGCGGTACACGCCTGCCAGAAGTGCTGGCCGACTCGCCGAAATGCCTTGTGCCTATTGGTCCCTATCCGCTGCTATGGTATCCTTTAAATATGTTGCAACAGCATAACTTTCAAGGTAATAGTTATGAATTTAGTTGAAATTTGTTTATTTACTTTCCGTAAACTCGCAGATGTGATTATTGTGGTATTAGAAAATGAGCGCTCTGAAATACAACAGGCCTTGGAACGTACATCTCTGAAAATTAAGATTGACTTCGTGCCGATTGATAGCGATAGCGATTTTGGCACAGCTGATAGTTTGCGACTCATACATGATAAGTAAATAGTAAAATTATTTAGCTTCTGATTTGATTTACGTTTATGTATGTATATTTTCCAGAATTAAGTCGGACTTTTTGGTATTGTCTTGCGATATAGTTTCGAATGTTAGTTTATATCCGTTGATCAATAAATTTCGCCAACACGATGCTGCACTCGCCGCACTACTTTTCAAAAGTGGTTTCGAATCGGATGTAGAATTGCCTGGTCCGAAGACAAAGCACAAACCGGAACGTGATCTAATTGGTATTCATCCGGAATCTAATCGTTTGCTTTTCCTTGCATCGACAAGCGATTTCGAAGAAGTAATGAGTATAAATGCTCACCTCCTGCGCAAGAATGGAAAAATGACGATTTTCTCACGATTAATAGATTCTCACATTTATGTTATGAAGAAGTGGATAATAGACTTTCTGCTTAAGGTAAAACCAATAAGTTTGAGTTTTTTTAATAAACATACGTGTATTAATTCCCCATGCAGAAAGAAAACTTATCTACCCTCAAAGGAGAATTTCTGCCTTATCTGATCAAAAAGCAAATGTCCAAGAAATCAGGTACATCAGCCGCTGCACCAGATATACACTCGGAAGTGGGTATCAGCATAAAACCCGAAAATGATATTTTTCATGTAAGCACGTTTCTATATTCTTTATACGCGGATTTACGTTTTTACTCATGTATACATAATTATTTATATTCAAAAAATTTAGTATGCATCAAACACACAACTTGAGCAACGCATACAGACAGCCACATTGTTTAACGATTCTCGCATCAAAGAGCCCTACAATGGCGACGTGATACGTTGTTATGCAGTTATAGCGCCAAAGGAGAGTATTGGCGTACGTGTAAATACTACTTTAAGTTTTTTCGCGATTAACCGTAAGGTAAATAATGTTCAAAGAGTCTATTACATGTTTACTCATCGTATACTTTTCGTAGATTTCCAATATTTGGCCAAAATTTTTCAACGAACAAGACCACGCACTCGTTTCAGCGAACGCAGTTATGAATTCGACACAGACGAAAGAAATCGCTGTAGGTGACAGTGCTAAACTGTCCGAAAAAACTTCGCTTAACTTTAGTGTTTTTGGTGCCAATTGCACCATTAATCCGAAAAATATTATAAACAAATCTATTATAATGACTAGCGCTATTATCGAAGAAGGGTGAGGATAACATCGGTTAGTTGTGTGTATTTACATATAACGATAAAATTATTTCTTTCAATTTAGCTGTAACATTGAAAATTGTATTGTGGGCAGTAGAGCTGTGGTTAAGCGTGGATCTGTGCTGAAAAACTGTTTGATCGGGCCAAGTTTCGCTGTGGAGGAAGGTACGAAAAAAGAAAATCAACATTTAACAAACGCTGATGGTTTTATGGAGATTGATATACAATAAAAATAATTAAACAATAAAAATTAATTACGTGTATACTTTCTTGTGGTTAAACGAAAGTTGCATTTTTTTAATAAAAGTAATTACAGCCCATTTCTTTTTTATTATTGCCAAATTATTAGAACAATAAGATCTGAGATCTTTTATAGTTACGGTTCCAAACATATTTCTAAAAGTTGTAATTAAAATCTTTGGAGTTGTGGTGATAAGTTTGAAGAATTTTTTTAATTTTTGTATAGATAATGAGCTAGGTATACTTTTATAAAAAAAAAAAAAATTATAAAAAACAGAATAAAAAAGAGTCAAAACTGGTCGAATCGTTGAAGTCGCGGGCTGTATGTAATAATAATAATTGATTGGCGCTTACACATGAGTCAAGGTTTGGCCAAGCTTCTCCGATCTGTGGCATGCGCCTTGACAAAGAGGAGGGACGGACCTTCAGTCCTTCAGTGTTACTCCGACTCCCAACGGCGATTGTATTTTAATGAGAAGCTGTTTTTCATGGCGAAAATACACTCGGAGGTTTGCCATTGCTTGCCGAAGGGCGACCGCTGTTAAGAAAAAACCTTTTTTCTATTTTTTTTGCGCGTATGTATCTTTTAAACCAAAGTGGAGTTCATGATATCGAGTGCGACATGTGGCAATGGGATTTTTCTTTCTGTTTTGGTTTGATTCTTCAACTTCTCCCTCATTTTTCCTAATTTTTCGTTGTTTATTTACTTCGCAGCTGATCGTCAATTTCCATATTTATTTTTTGCAGAGAAATTTCGGTCAAGTGCTTTGGCAGATTTTCAAACCCAAGTTTTCAAATAGGGGAAATGCTGTTGTTACGTCGGCTGCAGCCTGCACTGCGTACCACGAATATTCGCTTGTATGCCAAGAAATCAGTAAAACAAAATAAAATGAGTAGCATTTTGTCAGGAGCAGGTAATGACAAACAAGTGCATCAGGAAACCTTGCGCTATATATACCCTTTCCCGCGAATAAATATTCGTACCGATATTTATTTGCGTGTTAAATCTGCCGATGTAGTCGAATATCCGGACGCAAATGTGCTTATCGCAGAGTTACATGGTGGTCATGCCAGGAATTGTCCGGTGACGATGCAAGTGGATGTCAGTGAAGATGAACGTTTAGTAAATATTGTGGTAAAGAAGTTAGGGGACACTTCAGATTTTTATTGTAACCTGGAGGTTCCTATTCGATCCGATCTCAATGTTGAGGCCAGCGATAGTGTAAAAGTGCAGAATATCTTCAGCTCGGAGGTAACGGTGCGAGCTCAAAAAAACATAGAAACCAAGGAAATTCGAGCCGATAATGTGACATTAGATAGCGCTGCTGGAAATATCACATGCAAAGGTATGCTCTTAGGAAAAATAACTAAAGTGGAAACCAAACAATTAGGGGTAGGTACATAGATACATAATATGAATGAACTTGATGTAAATAAATATGTATTCCCATTTTCTGATTCAAACATTTATTTCCCAGAATATTTCGTTCGACAAGTTGCAGGGTGATCAGTTAAATTGTAAGACAGATGCGGGCAGTATATCCACGAGCTCTTGCTACGTGGAAGAGTCGAAATTTGAAACCAATTCCGGCTCCCTACAGCTAAGAAATGTTCACAAAAAAACGGAAGTTGACGTGCATAAGGGAGGAGAACTGATTATGAGTGAGTAAACAGTTGGTCCTATTAGCAAAATTTTTTTTAAATGCATGTTATTCTACCAGCTGGAGTACATGGTAATCTTACGGTGCGAGCGAATGGTGGAAAATTAACTCTGCAACTTTCCGAATTGACAGGGGAGAATGTTGTTAAAGCAAAAGAAATAGAACACGCCGTTATAAATATTTCTGATCGCATTGAAGAACATTCTAACATTGAGGTAACATCCCGCGCCGTGATATTAGATGATACACTATCGCATCTGCAAGATGGCATCGGCAACAACAATACTTTATTTCGTAATTCGAAAACTGCAGATGCTCAAAGTATTTTAATTGTAAGCAGTAGTGGCGCAGTTAAACTTGGAAAATTGTCCTGGATGGAATCTTTGCGAGAACAACTAAATACATCCGCAAACAAGTGAATAACTTGTAATCGGAAATGCTTATGAACTCTCCATTACAGCGTTGCGTCTTGACAAACATATTAGTATGTGTGTATATTAATAGCTTGCAATCCGCTTACATATATGGATACATTTCAGGCACTAAAAAATCGAAGTTTCCAATTAAAAAATGTTTAAATTTTAATTTTTGTGTATGTTTTCTAGACTAATCTGTATTTTGCTGTAGCATAATCGTGTAGGTTGATCATTGTCTTCAATGCTGAGCGCACTCTGTAGATTCTTCAGATTGTCATCATTATTCTCTTTCAAAAATTCTTGTAACTGCACTTCAGTTGCAGCATTGACCATACGCACAATGAGGTCGAGTATGGTTAAATAGCTCGTTTCAAAATTAAAATCATCTTCTTTAATTGTATTATCTTCAAAATCATTTGCAGTTGTTGTTTTTCTTGCAATACGTTCATTTTCTTCTCTTAGGAGATTCCAGATCCTTATAGCATACATCAGACAAATCTCATCAAAAGGATCTCCTAGTGACTGCGTATATATTCAAAAAAAGTAGCAAATTTACTAAATATATTTATACCTTTACAACAAGATAAAATTACCTCAAAAACATCATTGATACTATCTAATAGGTCTTGTTCTCGATTACTTAAATGCGGTACATATTTGGGGTTGCAAAGAGGTTCAAGAATGCAGCCAAGGCAATCCAATAAAGACTCGATATACGGTTTGTAGCTGTTCCGTGACAGATCATCATACTGTGTCAAGATGCCATGAATGTTTAAGAATATTTGCATTAAATTATGAGTGCTTTGTGTAGGAAGTATAGTGCTTTCATCATCATCCTCGTCATTATCCTGTAACTCTGTTGTATCTTTTCTAGGCAACAATGCTAGAAATGCCTCTGTTGTGGCTTTTATAAGATTTTGTTCGACAAAAAGTTGTTCAAACGTGGGCAATGGATCCAAACGGTCAAGATCATCGCCCTCATTCGTTGGGGGCTTTTGCGGATTAGGTTCCACTAAAGCAAATTTTGCCAGTATTGCGTTCAGTGTTTCAATTGTCTGGCGTAACAATTGCTCATTTATAGAGTTGTTTAATATAAAGGTAATATTTTTAACGAAATCTGGACAAGTACAAATGCGTTGATACCACTGGAGAGCTGCTGCACGATCTGCATGTATAAGTACAACAGAAAGAAGACGTGTGAGCTGCAAAAGCGTCAGCGAGTCGGAGCAACTTGTTAATCCGAGGAGTATTTGAACTAGATTGTTATTCTCAACAAGTGCTTCTCGTGCTTCTTTAAAATTGCACATGTTACCCAAAATTCCCACCAGAATTTCTACTAAACGCTTGTCCTCCGTTGCATTGATGCAATGGGCGAAGAGCTCCAGCACATTATGTTCTAAAAGCAAGAGTACAACATCTTCTTCAATCGTCATGTCCCAAACTGAGCATAAATCGTTTTCAAAGCATTCATTTTCGGCGAGTTCTTTTTCTACCTTGGTAAGTTTTAGTAATGTTGAAAGAACAAAACGTTCACTGTATAATGTATTGCCTATAGCATCACCTCGAATGCGAGTCAAATCCTCATCAACGTGCTCACTTCCATCGGGATGAACCGAAGGATTACAAGAACCTACGTGGATTTGGGCTTCGCAGTCTTCCGATTTATTTGCTTTATTAACGCCGGCTCTAATTTTTTCCGATGGCTCAGCCGGATTTTCCGATGTGCCCTGATTTTCCATCGAGGATCGTTTCTAATTTTTCTTTCTACATATATAAACAAAAATAACATAAAGGCAAAAAAAAACTTTAAGCCACTAATAAAGATTTTTATTTGGGTTACCCTGTGTGATAAAAGGCAACAGGTTTGTTTCTTGACAATTAATTAAAGTCATAAACCATGTAAAACTCGGTAAGTTTACGAGCATATATGTAATACTCCTATATTGGCAGTAAGAGCTAGTACTGTACGAAAACACTACAGTACAGATATATCAATAAACACGTACGAAAGAAAAGGAACACATACGTTTATAAATAAACATGTACACAACACATACACAAAAACAGCTCTCAAGTACACAATACATTGACAAAAACAGTACTAGACTGTCTCGCTTTGATTTCGGAATGCTTACACATTGAGAAGTTAGCTTACTGCCAATATAGAAGTATTACATATATGTTTACGAGGCTCTAATGGGAACGCGCCCTTTGCGAAAAGGTGTAGTTAGGTTACTGTTTGACAGATCAATCAGGATTTTGTCAAGCAATTTTTGTTTCTTAGTATTTTCCATATCATCCCGCCATCTTGTCTCTATCACTCTTAGGTAAAATACAATTCAAAATGGCGAAAATTAGCAAAAAAAAATTAAGTCAATACAGTTAGTGGATGAAGTTCATTCATTTTTTTCGATTATTTTTTTTTTTAATTTATTCTCATTATTTCATCATACATTTTAGTATAACAATTTTGGCCCCTCAGATTTATATCTGGCCAAGGACTGTCACTCCAGCAACACTCCCCAAAAAGTCTTTGGGGAATTTGTATGCTGCTACAACAACAACAACATGAGGTCGTTTGCGCATCAAATTTACCTCGTGATTTTAGGAGGGGCTCGTAAATAGTACTAAATTCAAATTTTGATAGTTCTTTTACGAGGTTGGCGAGGCTAATATGAGTTTAAGGGAAGACCCTATTGTGTTTATGCGGCCAATTTTAACTTAAATTCATGGAATGATTTTGTGAATTGGCCTACGTATAAACATATGGGCAATTCACGAGGTGTCGTATTTGTCGTGTTTGTCGTGAAGTCATGATATTTCATGACAGTTGTAAAAATGTTGTTATTGTTTTGTGAAGAAAAATAACACATGACGATACAACTCTGCAACCTATGTTTATTCGGTGTTATGTGAGGTTAAGTGCTGAGATATAATAAATAATCGTAATAGGTGTTCACAACCGTCGTGTTTTAACACAACTTTTGTTAGGAAAATATAACTTCACAACACCTTGTGAATTGCCCAATAGTGTATGTCCCGTGACCCAACTGATGTTAACACCTCATTAGTATAAATATTAAGATTTTTGAATTGCAATCGATAGTTCATCGAACAGTAACGTCCATTTTTAACGTTTTTTCGTTAGCCACGCAGTAATAAAATTATTTTTCAATTTAATAAAATAATTTTACAATTTTTACCAAAGACGTTCTTTCTACGTTATTTGCCCTAAGTAAAGTTCTCTGCTTGTGATCCAAGGAGAATTTATAAATCCGCCTTGCTGTGCGTCCCTGCTTTAAAAACTATTCGTTTTGACACCCTGTTTTCCATGCCATATTCAATTCACACATTTAGCAACTGAACTATAAATTTGACCTCAATAAAAAAAAGTATTTGCAAAAATTTCGTGTTTTGTTATAAATGCTGGTGAAATGTCTGTTGTAATTGAAACAACGATAGGTGATATTACCGTCGATCTTTTTGTGGACGAGCGTCCGATTGCTTGCTTAAACTTCATTAAGCTTTGCAAAATTAAGTACTATAATTTTAATTTATTCCACACCATCGAACGAGGTTTCATTGCGCAGACCGGAGATCCTACTGGTGCGGGAAACGGCGGTAGCTCTATTTGGGGCCAGCTCGATGGAACTGAAAAACGATTTTTTGAAACTGAAACAATGCCAAAGATTTATCATGAATCTGCTGGACTACTATCACTTGTGTCTGCGGGAAAAAATTTAGTTGGATCGCAATTTTTCTTTACATTAGCGCCAAATTTATCTTCACTGGATGGCACACATTGCGTTATTGGCGAAGTAGTTGAAGGTAAGCAGTAATTAAAAAAAAAAAAAAATTCAATGCATTCATTAATTTCACTTGCAGGTCACGAAATATTAAGGAAATTGAATGAGACTATTGTCGATGAGAACTTTCGTCCATATCAAGACATACGTATAACCCATACCGTCATATTAGAGGATCCTTACCCAGATCCACGTAATTTAAAGTTACCAAGTCGTTCGCCATCGCCAAATCCGCAACGATTTCAAAATGGTCGTATTGCAGCAGATGAAGATATTGACGATACGGATGGAAAAACAGCCGAAGAGTTACAGGAAATGCTTTCAGAGCGGGAAGCAAAAGCTCGTGCCACCATCCTTGAGATTGTTGGAGACTTACCCGACGCAGAAATGGCACCACCTGAAAATGTACTCTTTGTTTGTAAATTGAATCCAGTAACAACAGACGATGATTTAGAAATCATATTTAGCCGTTTCGGTAAGGTAAAAAGTTGTGAAGTTATTCGTGATAGAAAAACCGGCGACTCTTTGCAGTATGCATTTGTTGAATTTGAGGATCAGAAATCGTGTGAAGCGGCTTATTTTAAGATGGACAACGTGCTCATTGACGATCGTCGAATCCACGTAGACTTTTCTCAGTCAGTTGCGAAAGTAAAATGGCGAGGAAAGGGTCGTGGAGTTGAAGGCTCCTTAAAAAATAGGGACTTTGATAATTTACGGGAACCGAGCTGGAAACAGGAAAGGGACAATCGAAAGCGAAACGGCGATGACCGCGATAACACTAAACGAATGAGCTCGACTGAACGCCGATTAGCACGAGAAGAGCGCCATCGGGAACAACACGATCGGGAACGCAAAGAAAAGCATAAATATGAACGGGATCATCATTCGAGTTATCACAGTCAGCATCGTAGGCAAGAACGACGTGTTGATGGAAATACCGCACGTCAACGCAGACGTTCACGTGAGCATTATCGGCAGTCACGTAGTCGTAGTGGAGAGCGAGCGAGAAAATATTCTCCTGACAGCCAACGACGCGATAAGCACTCTAAATCTACAGACAGAAGGCGAAATAACCCAGAGGAAACAAAGCAGCGACATTATGTTCATCACATTAGTAGCGAAAAACAAGTGGATAAGAAACGACTACCCGTAAGAAGTGACGACAGATCCAAGAAACCCAAATCCAAATCGAAATGCAGTAAAAGAGTAAGCACATCCACAAGTGATGACACCGATAGTTCTAGTAGCGAGTCTGAGACGGAATCGTCTAGCACAGACACCAGTACTACCAGCAGCGATGGATCTAGTGATGCTTCCAATAAGAGAAGACGCCACGGACGTAAACATAAAGTTTCAAAAAAGAAAAGCTCTAAAAGAAAGTCACATAAAAGAAGAAACAGACATAAGAAATAAAGGAATTTACTTAAGAATAATCTATCTTTAAATATTATATTTAATAACATATGTATGTATGTAAGTTTATTTAGCACAAATATTACTTGGGATTGGTTGCTTTAACGCTCGAAGAATTTTCTCCCCCGCAGCAACCACCGGCAGGCCGTCCCTTGCGGTTGCGTGGAGTCAATTGTTCCATTGTTGCGTCTGGATTAAAAAGAACATTGTCCAAACGCGTGGTTTCTTCGGTGATGCGCAGCTCTAAAAGAGAATAAATACCACTTTGAAATTCGAATTGATCTACATAATAAATATGCCGACTTACGGTAAACGCCTTCCTTTTCCTGCACTGCTTGTACAACGTTTGTGCGCAATTCTTTGTTAACGTCATTCGCTAGTTTTATCATCTGAATTTTATAGTAAGTTGAGTACCCTATATGTTAATGAAGTAAACTATATATTTGCCTAACCTTTTTTATTTCCTCGTCATTTGATTCATTGCGATTTTTTCTAAAATGTTCGTTTATTTCTTTGCGACCAGCTTCTAACGTTTGTTTATCTCCTTGGAAGACGAATTGCCTGGTCCGATGCAAATTTTTGAACGCCCTTAGCGCCTAATGACAGCGCAAATTTTTAATGAAAAAACAAGCTTCCCTAAAATACCTCCTCTTACCTCACGTCGTAATTGTGCCATTTTAATTATTTAACTTAACTTTTTGATTTGTGTAATCAATTTAATTTAGTGCTGCTTCTAAAATATTTGTCAATTCCTTGTCATAATAAAACAGCTGATTGTACAGAATGTCAGATATGCACACGTTTTATGAAAGATTTCATTGTCTGCAATTATTTATCTTAAATTAATATTTTTTCCAAAATAACTATATTTTCTAAGATATTTAGCAACTAGATTATATGTATAACAAAACCTATTTGAATCAAAATTAATTAAAACATTAAAAAATGCAATTTTAAACCTTCTAAACATATCGACTAATCATCCGATTTTGCACTTTCCTACTTTCGAGTCTCGAATCACAGCTGTCGGCCCGCATTTTTTTTGACTGAATTCAATTGCTTCACGCCGTGGTCATTAGAAAAGGTAGTTGATATAAAAAAAACCGGAAATATTGGTTTTGGTGTCTGCAGGTAGATTTGGACGAACCGAAAGCTTTAATCAAGCTTTAATCACGCTCAACTTATATTCAAGACGACGCTAGCTGAAAAATAATTCTGGCTGCACTTGCACATATAAGTGGATAAGTATGTCTGCGCTAGCATTTGTACTTAATTATTATTCAACAATCATCACAAAAAAGATTAATAAACATATGTTTAATTATGCATATCTGTAGGTAAGTGCCGGGTCTTGAGAGTTATTAACGTTAACTGCAGCAGAGCGAAGTTGACTAAGAAATTTGTAATTTCATTGCTTTTAAAATGAGCAAATACAACACAAAGTATTTGGAAGACAAGTTAACCGACAAACTGGGAGCACAGTACGTAAAGGCAATCGACGAATCGGACGGTTGTGGTGGTAAATTTAGTGTTACAATTGTTTCAGAGGCATTCCGTGGTAAGACATTGCTGCAGAAACATCGCTTAGTTAACAGTGCACTTGCGGAGGAGCTAAAGGAGATACACGCATTCTCACAAAAGTCGTACACACCCGAAGAGTGGGAAAAGGTGCAGCAGACAATGCAATAAAAGCACCATATGCAACACAGTAAATATATATTTCTGCTAGCTTATAGCATCATTCAGTCAGTCAACAGCAACAGACGAAATTAGTAAACCGGAACGGCAACAATAGCGTACCTACTCGACAGAAAACGAAACGGAGTCAATTTAAACACGAACTATATAGTGCAGAAAGTGAAAGTATAGCTACTCCATAATTGTAAATGCGTAATAAACTGCGCAGGCGCTCAGTGCTTAAACCATTTACATTTTTAAACTGCAGGAAATAAAATACATAATCATCTAAAATATAAATGAAACAAGATTCAAATTGAAAGTACGATAATAGGCGAACTGCAAGCCAAAAGTCAAGTTGCCTTATTTGCATACAAATACGACTGCAATATTACTTAACACAAATCCAATTCATTCTTTGTGTTTGTGTGAGTAAACCAGTTGTCGGCTTACGAACGCTGCTACAGATCGACTTATTTACACAAAGGTGTTCTTATTTCTGTAGCTATTGAATAAATAACGAGTAAAAACTTAAGATTTCCAACTCACGTAAATTTAAAATGAAAAAATTTCAAGTTAATGCACCCGGCAAAGTTATTCTCCATGGTGAACATGCCGTTGTCTACAGAAAACCTGCTTTAGCCGCCGCCGTGGGACTAACAACGAAATTGCAGTACCGCCCTCAACCGGATAATGGTGTTGCAGTGTTCAATTTAGATAGTTTGAATTGCACATTTGAAATTCAATTACAACAGTTCAATGATTTTGTTAACGATTTTCGTGTCAAGTATCCTGGTAGCAAAGTGGATTATACTGCAAAATTATTAGAGGAGGTGCGAGACGTTGTCACAAAGCAAGTGGAGGGAGCTCTTAGCAATTCTAACAAGCAACAAGCTCAAAAGGCTTTTTTGTCCATATATTATCTATTGACAGGTGCAGTTCTTTCGGCTCCGAATGCAGAACTCACTCTACAATCCGGGTTTCAAGTGAATATCGACACAGAGATGAATATTGGATCTGGCCTAGGCAGCTCAGCCTCGTTTGGCGCAGTATTATCGGCAGCATTTTTACTTTTAACTGGCCATTTTGATGAGCAAACATACCTCAAAGTGGAAAACCAAGCTCTTATATCTCAGTGGGCCTTTGAAGCTGAGCGCATTATGCATGGTACTCCATCTGGCGTTGATAACACTGTGGTGACCTACGGAGGAATGCTGCGTTTCGTCAAAGGACAAGGCTTTCAATCTATTAATATACAGCGGCCGCTCAACATAATGCTGGTAGATAGTCGCATAAGCCGTAGTACTGCGGATATTGTTGCTAAAGTACGACACCTTTGGGAGACCTTTCCAAAGGTCGTGGACTCCATTTGGGATGCTTGTGAAGAAATTGTGACGAATGCCATACCACTTTATGAAAACTTTGGCAACGCGAAAGACGACAGCGAAAAGTTCGAGAAACTCGAAAGGTTGTTCCAAATCAACAATGATCTTCTTAAAGCTATCGGTGTTACACACCCCAAATTGGAGCAGATATTTGCGATTGCCTTCAAGCGTGGTTTCTTCAGCAAAATAACAGGAGCTGGGGCAGGAGGCTTTGCTATTGTGCTTCTGCCAGAAAATTTTGAAAGTAATCAGGTATATTGGAAATTGAAAGAAGAACTGGAGTCAGCTGGATTTGGTGTGCAGTCTACCACTGCCGGTGGTGATGGCTTACGGATTAAGGCGCTGGAAGACTAATTTTCCACATATTTCTATGGTTAATAAACATGTGTACTAACATACAATACATTTATAATTTTATGATCTAAGTAAATATTAATTTTGTTTGCTTTTTCACATCGAAGGAATATATATGCACCTTAATATGTATGTATGTACATAAGTAATATTAAATTTTATACGCTGTGCTTTGTAATTAATAAAACACAACAATAAATCTGTTTTTGTATCATTTCATAATATATTATAATTCGAAAACTCAGTAAATCAACGTTGGCTAGTGTCTCTAGATCTGTAGGGAATGCCGCGACTTTTCATTTCGCGCAGCGTTGCTTGTGGGAGGTTGCCCGATACCGAGATGGCGTAGATGCCTCGCGTGAAACGTCCTGTAGAAGAGTTCAGACAGAATTTCATATTTTGAAACGCGATTAAAACATTTATTTTTAATTTAGAAAGCAAATGAATGTATGCAATACACGAAAATGCTATCACTGAATCCGAATAGTCTCGAACGTAGCATATACTTTGAATACAAACTCAAGTTTCTTCCTACCTGATTGTTATTGTTGTTTTTTTTTTTTATCAAGTGTTGTTTTCGGGTATGCAGTCCAATGCTAAGAAAAATACCTTTTTTATTTTTTTTGCCGACTTCTTCAGGTCTCAAAATTGCATTTTTCTGTGTCTAGCTTCGGTTGTGATTAATTTAAACAAATAAACATAAACATTAACAACTGAAAGCTGTAGATACAAATTTACTTATTCACACATAAGAGGCAGGAAACGGTCGAAACGTGGGCAAAAAAATAAAAAAGGCATTTTTCTAAGCATTGGACTGCATACCCGAAAACAACATTTGAATACAAGCGTTCGCAGCATTCCGGACTCAGTGATGGCATTTTCGAAGATTTCACGAAAATTCGGACTACGATGGAATCTGTCATAGCCTCCAATAATTACATTGAAACTAGCTTGAGTCAATACGAATGTATTGGTATATTTTACTGCAAGATTTAGATAGTTATGACTTTAACTTAGAATAATTACCATAACATGGTATCCAGATATCTAAACTTACCTATACGTTGCCATTTGGCTACCCAAGAATCTTCAGGACTCATCAGGGCAATAATACCATCGAAATTGTTACTTGTGTGGTCATATACATTATCCTTGTTGTTCTTCATTCGCAGAAACTCGTCACAATTGTCGCATCCATCACATTCGAATTGATCAAATGTCTTATATTACAAAAAATTAAAGTTATTATTTTAGTTTTACTTTGCCGTAATGAAGACATACCTTAACAAGTGAACACACTAAACAAGCACGGAGTCCTCGTAAATCTTTTGGTATTGTATCGAAAGACATCCTGAAACCGTATTAAATGTTATTGTATGGAGGAGTGAAAAATATTAAACTATTTGAGAAGTTTTCTTGTTTCTTTCCACGGAAAACCGTATTATAAACAAATAAACAAACGTGCATTTGACAAGCAAATCATACTACTTTGCATTTTATACACCAGATGAGGTGAAGTTTTTAACACAGGGTGGCTGATGTAACGCAATAATTGTTGGCGCCAATGGCTTTGTTTCTTTTCTTTTCTAGCAGATAATTATCAGGAAAAAGAAGAACGGGAAATTGAGAGAATTACGCTCACAGAGAGCGAAATAACGAAGTAGTAAAGAAACGCAAAACTGGCAGAAACTAGCAAGTAAACCGCTGATCGATGTATTTGACTATTGAAAATATTTGTGGCGAATTTTTGTTTATCGATTTTGGTAAAAATTTACTCTAAAAGCACCACAAACAATTATTTTGTTAATGTGAATTATATTAAGCATCATGCCATCAGCTGTTTTTCTTACTAGCAAATAGTTGCTAGTAAAAATTTATACAGTAAAAATCCGATAAAACTTGCAAGTTCAGCTGTCATTTTTGCTCTCTCAATTTCCACTCTTTTGCTAGTTTCTGGCAAGTTTTTGTGTACGAAAACGACATGAGAAAAAAACAGGAAATTAGTACTGGATAGTGCGTACGCGAACATTTTGTTAGGTGGTGAAATTCACAGTAGTAAAGCTCGTCGGCGATTTCAAGCATCCGTTGTTGGTTACCCCAGCAACCGAGGCAATCGGAGATCGTCGTGTCACACGTACTTGTTGTCGGCTCGTGTTGATGGAAAATCAAAAATTTTTGATTTTCCATCAACGCGACCGCTTGACAGCGGTCTGTTTGATAGTGGCGCAAAGCGTTGACAAGCATTAAGGCTCTGTTATAGGCTGTTTTTGCTTACGCGTAAAATCACATTTAGCGCATTTAGCTCTAAATGCTACTCTAAATGTACATTTATCCATACAAAATTCGTCACCTAAATGCAACTAAATGCATCTCCATTTTTGCATTAAGAATCTAAATGCTAAAAGCAACCCTGTGATCTTCCAAAATTTCCACGATTCGAACATGGTTTAAAGAGAAAAAGTGGCAACATTGCTTTTTCGAGTATACAGTTGCTAGCTGCGTTTCAGTGATCGCCGATCGAGATTTCTTTTATTTTGCATTACATATTTGGATAAAGAAAAGTTAAGCAAATTCAACATCGATTTGATGCTGATAGAAATCTGGATCAATTTGTGATCAACTCAGTTTGGTTTGTTTCCTAATTAAGTGAGGAAATTTTAATTGACAGCACCGACAAATGAATATATACACAAACAAATGTTCGGTTATGGTTA